ACTGTCATCATGGATAAAATAGAATACAACAACAAAATTAAAGAATTACTCGACGATGGTAGTTATACAAAAATAAAAAGAGATCCCACCAACAGCCTCGTCACACAAACCAACAAAATAATTTCTGATTCAACCGCATTAATTGATCAATCTAAACAGTTTTCGTTGAAACCTTCTGCTGCCAGGCCACCAAGATTATACGGCTTACCAAAAATACATAAAGTTGATACACCTCTTCGTCCCATAGTCTCTACTATCAGCTCCCCCACCTACAAACTAGCTCGTTTTTTGTCTGAAATCCTGCGTCCTTTCACTGGAAAGACCACCTCTGCGGTACAAAATTCTACTCACCTGGTATCAACAATCAAGGGTATTTCCCTGTCCCCAGACGACCTGCTTGTCAGTTTTGATGTAGTTTCCTTATTCACCAAGGTTCCTGTACCTGACACCATTGCAATCATTGAAGACTTGGTTCATCAAGGACTAAACACTGAGGTACCCCCCCTGGTGAGACACTGTTTAACCAATACATACTTCACTTGGAATGGAACTTTCTACAAACAAACTGAGGGCACCCCAATGGGCTCCCCCCTTTCTCCAGTTATAGCTAACATTTTCATGGAGAAATTTGAGACTGACGCCATCCAGACTGCCACTCTGCGCCCAACCTTATGGAAGAGGTACGTGGATGACACTTTTGTCATCTGGCCACATGGCCGGCCTGCTCTAGACCAATTCTTCGACCACATCAATTCCATACACCCAGCCATCAGATTTACCATGGAAGTCGAAATAGATGGCAAGATACCTTTTTTGGATGTCCTAATTAAAAAGAGACCTGATGGTTCAATGAGCCACTCTGTCTACAGGAAAGCTACCCATACGGATGCTTATCTGAAACCGGATTCCCACCACCATCCATCACAGAAGAATTCTCTCATCAAGACTCTGTATCATAGAGCCCAATGCATATCCGACCAGGAACACATAAGCAGTGAACTCAAGCACGTACACCAAGCTCTTAGGGCTAATGGTTACTCCGACTATACAATCCGCAAAGCTATCACTCAAACCATGAAGAAGAACCCTCTTGAGGAGCCTTTCAAAACCATCACTTTACCCTACATTGCTGGGATCACAAAAAAGATCTCCAAAATCTTGAATAAACACAAGATCCAGGTCCGTTTCAACACATTACATAAAATCCGTGATCTGGTTCCGTCTGTAAAAGATGTGATTCCGGACATACAATACCCTGGTGTCTACAAACTAAGTTGCCTCTGTGGTAGTAGTTACATTGGAGAAACCAAACGCCATGTCTCGGACCGCATTCGTGAACATAAAGCAGACCTTAAACACGGTAGGACCAACACCTCGGCCGTAGCAGATCATTGTTCTAATTCAGTAGGCTCACATGCCATTGACTTTTCCAAGACGGAGGTTCTTTGTAAGCCATCTGGCTTCCATGAGAGATTCGTTCATGAGGCTATCCACATATACAAGCACAGAGACAATTTCAACCGAGAAGATGGATTCTATCTTAGCAATCATTGGAAAGATTTGATAAATCATTTCAGTTCTTGATTGATTGTTCACGCTTACAGTGGCTTTCAGACAGCATACATTATAAAAAAAAAAATTCGTCTCCCCCCTCCTCTTTTCAAAAAAATAGATGGACTAGTCCTGGGCAAACTGCCAATCGCTGCGCGTGACGCCAACGTTTTTTATAAATAAATAAATGTGCCGTTTTAAAAATAAATTTATGCAAACCGACACACCTGATGATGACCGTTTGAGTTATGGTCGAAACGTCGTGAGAAATTTTTATTGTTTTATATATAATTTGTTATTTTGTTGTTTCTCTTCAACGTGACTTTACCGAAAAAACTAAGAATATGAATTACTGCAGTCACGAAAGCTTTAAATCAAAATTTAATCGCCTCTACGGGGATGGTTTTCACATAACTTTAAGATCCTTCAACAAACTCCGGGATAAGAAAGCTCAGCTGATCGAGTCTCTCACCTTCCTGAAGAGATGCCGCGACTCTGGGGTAATACCAATCGCATTTACACTGACCTCTGCTGCTGTAACTTCTTCTAATGCGAAACAAATTCTTTTCAAAACTAGCTTAGCTCTTATCTCAGAAAAAATCAGACTTATACGCACAGAACTAGATCAGTTAGACAAGACACTCTACAAATCACACTTATCATTGACGGCAATAATGTCCACATCGGATTGGGAACATGTAGACAATATGACTGCCTCTTCAGCTGCTACTATGTCGACCAAATGTAAGGAAAACCTGATTTCCAAATTTAACCTCCTCTTCAACAAAAGACCGGACCCACACACCAAAAAGTTAGACGTTAATAAAGTCGTAATTAATCGCAGTAACAGTTCTATTTCCGATGGTCTGAAATCCGTTTTAGCTAAAGGTCTAAACTTTGCAGTCACACCTAAACACATACCAGTTAATGATATAATTGCCCAAGTAGACGTTGCTCTCAGGGGCCTGGGTCACATCGCTGCAGACGTAGCAAGATCTGAAATCGCTGCAACCCTCAAAAACGCTAAGATGCCAGCTAGCAACCTCAACAAAGATGAGCGTTTTGAATTATATAAATTAAAAAAGAGGAATGATATTGTAGTTCTCTCAGCTGACAAAGGCAATGCTACTGTCATCATGGATAAAATAGAATACAACAACAAAATTAAAGAATTACTCGACGATGGTAGTTATACAAAAATAAAAAGAGATCCCACCAACAGCCTCGTCACACAAACCAACAAAATAATTTCTGATTCAACCGCATTAATTGATCAATCTAAACAGTTTTCGTTGAAACCTTCTGCTGCCAGGCCACCAAGATTATACGGCTTACCAAAAATACATAAAGTTGATACACCTCTTCGTCCCATAGTCTCTACTATCAGCTCCCCCACCTACAAACTAGCTCGTTTTTTGTCTGAAATCCTGCGTCCTTTCACTGGAAAGACCACCTCTGCGGTACAAAATTCTACTCACCTGGTATCAACAATCAAGGGTATTTCCCTGTCCCCAGACGACCTGCTTGTCAGTTTTGATGTAGTTTCCTTATTCACCAAGGTTCCTGTACCTGACACCATTGCAATCATTGAAGACTTGGTTCATCAAGGACTAAACACTGAGGTACCCCCCCCTGGTGAGACACTGTTTAACCAATACATACTTCACTTGGAATGGAACTTTCTACAAACAAACTGAGGGCACCCCAATGGGCTCCCCCCTTTCTCCAGTTATAGCTAACATTTTCATGGAGAAATTTGAGACTGACGCCATCCAGACTGCCACTCTGCGCCCAACCTTATGGAAGAGGTACGTGGATGACACTTTTGTCATCTGGCCACATGGCCGGCCTGCTCTAGACCAATTCTTCGACCACATCAATTCCATACACCCAGCCATCAGATTTACCATGGAAGTCGAAATAGATGGCAAGATACCTTTTTTGGATGTCCTAATTAAAAAGAGACCTGATGGTTCAATGAGCCACTCTGTCTACAGGAAAGCTACCCATACGGATGCTTATCTGAAACCGGATTCCCACCACCATCCATCACAGAAGAATTCTCTCATCAAGACTCTGTATCATAGAGCCCAATGCATATCCGACCAGGAACACATAAGCAGTGAACTCAAGCACGTACACCAAGCTCTTAGGGCTAATGGTTACTCCGACTATACAATCCGCAAAGCTATCACTCAAACCATGAAGAAGAACCCTCTTGAGGAGCCTTTCAAAACCATCACTTTACCCTACATTGCTGGGATCACAAAAAAGATCTCCAAAATCTTGAATAAACACAAGATCCAGGTCCGTTTCAACACATTACATAAAATCCGTGATCTGGTTCCGTCTGTAAAAGATGTGATTCCGGACATACAATACCCTGGTGTCTACAAACTAAGTTGCCTCTGTGGTAGTAGTTACATTGGAGAAACCAAACGCCATGTCTCGGACCGCATTCGTGAACATAAAGCAGACCTTAAACACGGTAGGACCAACACCTCGGCCGTAGCAGATCATTGTTTTAATTCAGTAGGCTCACATGCCATTGACTTTTCCAAGACGGAGGTTCTTTGTAAGCCATCTGGCTTCCATGAGAGATTCGTTCATGAGGCTATCCACATATACAAGCACAGAGACAATTTCAACCGAGAAGATGGATTCTATCTTAGCAATCATTGGAAAGATTTGATAAATCATTTCAGTTCTTGATTGATTGTTCACGCTTACAGTGGCTTTCAGACAGCATACATTATAAAAAAAAATTTCGTCTCCCCCCTCCTCTTTTCAAAAAAATAGATGGACTAGTCCTGGGCAAACTGCCAATCGCTGCGCGTGACGCCAACGTTTTTATACATAAATAAATGTGCCGTTTTAAAAATAAATTTATGCAAACCGACACACCTGATGATGACCGTTTGAGTTATGGTCGAAACGTCGTGAGAATTTTTTATTGTTTTATATATAATTTGTTATTTTGTTGTTTCTCTTCAACGTGACTTTACCGAAAAAACTAAGAATATGAATTACTGCACTCACGAAAGCTTTAAATGAAAATTTATGAACTATGATGTCTGTTGCGCGTCGTCGCTTCAAGACGATTCCAAAGGAATCTACAACCTTCGATTTCTTTGCGCGATTTAAAGAATCGATTATTGGCGCGATCGGGTTATATTTGATTTTAAATTAATGAGTTATCTTTTCATTTGTATGTTATGTTTTTAAGTTTTCAGACGTTTTTAAATATATTTCCCCGCTAGTAGCAATATATATTTATCGACTCTTTAGCACAAAGTACTCACCTGACAGATTGCCGTGACGAGGCCTAGTCCCGTGCAGAGCCCCCGGCCTCGCCTAGATTGCACGGCCGGCCGAGGCTGGGGGCTGGGCCGCTATCCACCGCCCCCCCGCGCTACAATAATACTATTTAATCGCTGTGCGTTGCCAGGGGCAACTCGCGTTAGCGTTTCGCGCATGCGCAGCAGCGAGCCGGTCGGCATAAATAAATAAATATAGATAAATCGCACCAAAACGCGATTTTAACCACTTTAAAGTTTAGGGATGGAAAAACGGAATAGCCTATTCCCACCGCGGGGCCTGGGGCGTGCCGCCCGGCAAATTTTTTTTCTACGCGATCCCCACGGTCCGAGAGCCAAATCCCCCGCAAGCCAGCGTACGCAGACGGACGGACAGACAAAAAATGCCTTTTATAGGTTAGAAGAAGATATGCAGGCTGTATACTACTTAGGATCATATTACACAATGCGACTTCATGTGTTAGATCTCATAATCGAATTAGACTTGCACCTGGATGACGTTGGGATGGGTGACTACTTGTGTAATAGATATCATAGGCTAATGTTTAACGATGTGGCTGGAGAGGGCAGAATGCCACGTACCTTTATTGTTCTGTATTTCCATGCTCCCACGTCTAAACAATCTACATTATGTCAACGTCCATCCCTTGCTTTTCTTTCAAAGTGACACCGAAACCCCCGGTAGAGGAAAAGCCAACAAAGCCAGCTCCTGAAGAGAGTGGCGCTCCTCCTCCAGAGCCAACTGGATCGAAGGACAAGACACCCCCACCTCCAACCTCCAGCAGCAAGGAGCCAGAACCATCACCCCCAACTCCAGGCCCAGGTACCATGGTGGAATTAGTTGCAACATCACATGTGGATAATATTTTACATACAATCACATGTTCAGTCAAAACAACCATATGTTCTGGTTGTGCCGGGACATTCCCAGTTTCAAAAAGGCTATGCTAGTGTCCTGAAGCATTTTAAATGTGGGCTTTTGTCCTACTTTACAGTGTTCTGGTCCCAAACTTGGCTTATTTACTGGAACAGGGTATGACTCACAGACTCTAGGCTGGGTTGGTAGCAGAATAGGAGGAACTTACGGAGCAGTAGATCAGCCTGTGTCAGAGTAATTGAGCGACCGTATCTTCCTAAAAGTAGGGGGTGCTAACAGAAGGGGTATGGCAGCTCACCAGGATTTCGGGTTGATACTCAACGAAAATTCAGTAACTCTATGTACAGTCCATTCATGATGAAGACTCACTGTATGCTTGCTGTACGTAAATACATATTTCACTATACATTCCTACAAACTGCACATTAATAGGTATGATGCATTTTATAGCTGTCAGAACATTATCTTATAGAAATGTAGTTGATATATACATAGTAACCGTTTGAAGACTGATTAAGAATGTATCTTTGCAGAAGACTGTACTCCAGGCTGGTCTGACTGGTACCATGAGCAATATCCTGATGAAGAAAATGGCGGAGATGAGGAATCTTACCAGAAGGTCATAGCCTCAGGGAAAGTGGTTTGTCTGCCTGACTCACCGGTGCAAAACATTGAATGCAAAGCCGAGAGATTCCCCAATACCCCATGGCAGATATTGGGCCAGACAATAACTTGTGACAAGAATAAAGGACTGAAATGTGTCAATGAGGATCAAGGAGGACTGCCATGTTACAACTACAAGGTCAGATTCTGCTGCTCCACAGCAGGTGGACCCCCTGCACCAACTCCATCTAAAGCAAGCCCAGGTACCATTCTGGAATTAGTTGCAAAATCACATGGATAATATATTAAATGCCATCATTTTTTTTGTTGGATCAGGTAAATGTGTACTTAAATGCACCACCACCTGGCACAGCCAATCAGTGAGGTTTGCACTCTTCCTACAGAACCAACTGCATCGAAGGACAAGACACCCCCACCTCCAACCTCCGGCATCAATGAGCCAGAACCATCACCTCCAGAAGGGCCAGGTGTGTTCATTTTGTAAGATTATATATATACTAGCGGTAAGTACCCGGCGTAGCCCGGGCAAAAAAATCTATTTCAAAACTTCTCTTTAAAACCGTACATTTACATACACAGATAGTAAGCTGTTATGAAAGCCCTGTGGGCCGTTTGTCCATTTCTCCACCAACGAAATTATAAGTAAGTACCCGGCGTAGCCCGGGTAAAAAAATCTATTTCAAAACTTCTCTTTAAAACCGTACATTTACATACACAGATAGTAAGCTGTTATGAAAGCCCTGTGGGCCGTTTGTCCATTTCTCCACCAACGAAATGATAAGAAGCTTGCACAAGTCCAGAAAGTTATAGAAAGTGGGGGGTAAATAGTTTATCTAATAGTTTATCTAAAGGTTTCTGAAAATTGTCGACCCCCCCCTCAAAAATATCTTTACCCCTGCGTAGGTATATATACCCTACATAAAACAGAGGAAGTAGTATCTGTTGACTCTGTAGTTGTATCTAATGACTGTATCTACTGAGCCAGTAGTAGCTACTGACTGTGTAGTAGTATTTAGTGACTGTAATAACTACTGACCGTAGCAGTATTTACTGGGCCTACAGTAGTATCTACCGACTCTACAGTAGTAACAACTGTCTAGTAGTATCTGCTGACTCTATAGTAGTATCCACTGACTATAGTAGTAACTACTAACTCTAAAGCAGTATCTACTAAATGTATAGCAGTAACTACGGACTCTATAGCAGTAGTTACTGACCGTAGTAGTATCTACTGACTGTGTAGTAGTATTTGCTAACTGTAGCAGTATTTAATGACTGTAGTGGTATATACCGACTGTTTTAGTATCTACTAACTCGATATAGCAGTATCTACCAACTCGATAGCAGTATCTACTATCACTACAGCACTGGATACTGTGGTGCTACCTGCTATGATTACAGCAGTGCATACCGACTGGTGGCACCTGCTATTATTATAGCAGTGCATACTGATTGTGGTGGTACCTGCTATGATTACAGCAGTGCATACTGATTGTGGTGGTACCTGCTATGATTACAGCAGTGCATACTGATTGTGGTGGTACCTGCTATTATTACAGCAGTGCATATTGTGATGGTACCTGCTATGATTACAGCAGTGCATACTGACTGTGGTGGTACCTGCTATGAATACACCGTGCTGTGGTGGTACCTGCTGTGATTACAGCAGTGCATACTGCTGTGGTGGTACCTGCTATGATTACAGCAGTGCATACTCCTGTTGTGGTACCTGCTATGATTACATCAGTGCATACTGCTGTGGTGGTACCTGCTATGATTACAGCACTGCATACTGCTGTTGTGGTACCTGCTATGATTTCAGCAGTGCATACTGCTGTGGTGGCACCTGCTATGATTACAGCAGTGCATACTGCTGTGGTGGTACCTGCTATTACAGCATTGCATACTGCTGTGGTAGTACCTGCTATGACTACAGCATTGCATGCTGACTGTGGTGGTATCCTGCTATGACTACAGCAGTGCATACCGACTATGGTGGTTCCTGCTATGATTACAGCTTTCACTACAATAGTACATGCTGACTCTATCTATCTTATATATGAAAGTAAAAGTTGTGAATATGTGTCTGTTCGAAATGTCTGTTCCTTTCACCTGAAGACGGCCGCTTGCATTGTGGCCGAAACGTCGTGAGAATTTTATCGTGTTATTTTATTATTTTATTCTCATTCTACGTGACTTTACCGAAAGAACCAAAGAAGATGTTTAGCATACTTGCCGACATGCAACCAAATTATATTATCATACACTCACTCACACAACCACTGACCCATTCACTCATCATACACTCACTCATCATGCGCTGACTCACACATCATACACTGGGAGTGGCATGCTGCCAACTATGGCTGCTAGTTTGGTCGTACATGCTATTTATATCGTTTATTGTTAAATGAGAATCGCAGTTCCTATGATTACTGTTGTAAAATTGTTTTTGAAGCTTTTTTTGGTGATTTCGAAAACATAGGGTTAATCTATCTTATGGTTGGTATTGTTTCACTTGCATCACACTGGGATTTGAGCATACAGCGTTGTAATACTTTTTTTAAGATTTGCTGGTTTATCCATTATGTGATCTCTGTGATCTCACTGTGATCTCTACATTGGGTCAAACTTAACATCTCTTAATGTTCGATGGCTTGTGCACCAGATCTTATTTATTCACGATGTACTTACAAAAAATTCCGCAGACTACCTACTGGATCTCCTCTCTGTTTCAAAGAACAAATTTGACCTCAGGTCTTCGCTCATTTACCAGCTTCACATTCCCTATTGCCGTACAAAAACTGGAGGAAGGGCCTTTGCTATTGATGCCCCCAGGGTCTGGAATGCTATTGCCAATAAACTGCAACTTGAATCACTACCTATGAGATCTTCACTCAAAACTGCTCTAGAGGAGTTGTACAACCCTAGCTGCCACTGCTATTCAGTGGCCTAAAATATGGCTCTAGATTTTGGTGTTATAATTTATTTATGTAGTTTATTGTTAAAAATTCGGTCACAGTCCCTATGATCACTGTTACATTGGATTTATGGCTTTTATTTTGGTGATTTCGAAAAGTTTTTTTTTGTTTTGGCCATGTTTTTGTTTATTGTAGTACGGAGTTAGACTGATGGCCTTAATCTTAGTTGTCTTGTGGTTGTTGTTGTTACTTGACTTGCATCCCACTGGGATTTTTGCACACAGCGTTGGTGTACGGTGCTATTTCAGGAATATTTTGATATTTTTTTCCTGTATTTTCTGTTTGCACAGTCACATAATCACTTTAAGATGTTTTCTTGTTCATGTTTTTTGTTTGTTGTGGTTGCACCCGATTCAAGAGCCGAATGGCTCACAGGGCTATACCAAATAAATGAACTATGAACTATGATTTTATGAGACCTCCTTTGCCAGTAACAAGATATAGGAATAGGTTTTACCCTTTTAACTGGCACAAAAACTGACACCTTTATTCAAGGCATCATGTTTGCAATAACCACAACACAAGCAGTCAAAATGCAAACAAAAAAGACAACTCTGATAATAATATGCATTGTCCTTGAATTTGATTGGTCACACACCCGAGACAGCTTTTCTTAGAGCCTAGTCTCCATTGGTGTTGGACCAGAAGACGCCAAAAGGCGTACAACTCAAAAAACAGCACACTATCAGAGTATTGAGGGCTCGGGGTGAGCATGTACATTATGAGACCTCCTTTGCCAGTAACAAGATATAGGAATAGGTTTTACCCTTTTAACTGGCACAAAAACTGACACCTTTATTCAAGGCATCATGTTTGCAATAACCACAACACAAGCAGTCAAAATGCAAACAAAAAAGACAACTCTGATAATAATATGCATTGTCCTTGAATTTGATTGGTCACACACCCGAGACAGCTTTTCTTAGAGCCTAGTCTCCATTGGTGTTGGACCAGAAGACGCCAAAAGGCGTACAACTCAAAAAACAGCACACTATCAGAGTATTGAGGGCTCGGGGTGAGCATGTACATTATGAGACCTCCTTTGCCAGTAACAAGATATAGGAATAGGTTTTACCCTTTTAACTGGCACAAAAACTGACACCTTTATTCAAGGCATCATGTTTGCAATAACCACAAGACAAGCAGTCAAAATGCAAACAAAAAAGACAACTCTGATAATAATATGCATTGTCCTTGAATTTGATTGGTCACACACCCGAGACAGCTTTTCTTAGAGCCTAGTCTCCATTGGTGTTGGACCAGAAGACGCCAAAAGGCGTACAACTCAAAAAACAGCACACTATCAGAGTATTGAGGGCTCGGGGTGAGCATGTACATTATGAGACCTCCTTTGCCAGTAACAAGATATAGGAATAGGTTTTACCCTTTTAACTGGCACAAAAACTGACACCTTTATTCAAGGCATCATGTTTGCAATAACCACAACACAAGCAGTCAAAATGCAAACAAAAAAGACAACTCTGATAATAATATGCATTGTCCTTGAATTTGATTGGTCACACACCCGAGACAGCTTTTCTTAGAGCCTAGTCTCCATTGGTGTTGGACCAGAAGACGCCAAAAGGCGTACAACTCAAAAAACAGCACACTATCAGAGTATTGAGGGCTCGGGGTGAGCATGTACATTATGAGACCTCCTTTGCCAGTAACAAGATATAGGAATAGGTTTTACCCTTTTAACTGGCACAAAAACTGACAAAAACTGTCAGTTTTTGTGCCAGTTAAAAGGGTAAAACCTATTCCTATATCTTGTTACTGGCAAAGGAGGTCTCATAATGTACATGCTCACCCCGAGCCCTCAATACTCTGATAGTGTGCTGTTTTTTGAGTTGTACGCCTTTTGGCGTCTTCTGGTCCAACACCAATGGAGACTAGGCTCTAAGAAAAGCTGTCTCGGGTGTGTGACCAATCAAATTCAAGGACAATGCATATTATTATCAGAGTTGTCTTTTTTGTTTGCATTTTGACTGCTTGTGTTGTGGTTATTGCAAACATGATGCCTTGAATAAAGGTGTCAGTTTTTGTGCCAGTTAAAAGGGTAAAACCTATTCCTATATCTTGTTACTGGCAAAGGAGGTCTCATAATGTACATGCTCACCCCGAGCCCTCAATACTCTGATAGTGTGCTGTTTTTTGAGTTGTACGCCTTTTGGCGTCTTCTGGTCCAACACCAATGGAGACTAGGCTCTAAGAAAAGCTGTCTCGGGTGTGTGACCAATCAAATTCAAGGACAATGCATATTATTATCAGAGTTGTCTTTTTTGTTTGCATTTTGACTGCTTGTGTTGTGGTTATTGCAAACATGATGCCTTGAATAAAGGTGTCAGTTTTTGTGCCAGTTAAAAGGGTAAAACCTATTCCTATATCTTGTTACTGGCAAAGGAGGTCTCATAATGTACATGCTCACCCCGAGCCCTCAATACTCTGATAGTGTGCTGTTTTTTGAGTTGTACGCCTTTTGGCGT